CCCAGCCGTTCCCCAGCTCCGCAGCCCACCGTGGCAGCGCCGGGCCCATGGAATTGCTGTGGGCCTGAACTCTGAGCGCTGGCTCCCGAAAGCTAATTAGCCACCACTTCCGTGCAGCGTGGTGTCGTGCGTCTCCCCGGGCCTGCGACTGAACACGGGCCGCCGAGCCCCAGCGCAAGGCAATCACGTGGCGACGCGCCAGCGCCAGCCGGGAAAATAACTGTGTTTCCTTTGTGCACGCTGAGCGCCCCCTGCTGTGTGTTTCCTGGCAGCATGGCTGCTGGGGATGGGAAACAGGCGTCCACGGAGCTGAGCCAGGACAGCCGTGGTCTCTGCAAAACCAGGGGCCGTGACCTCGGTTAGCTCAGTGAATGAGCCCTCACGTCCATGTAATGTGAGTTTCTCCGGGCTGGTATCCAGTAAGGAGGTGGGCAGGCCCGGAGAGAGGCCGTCTACGTGCTGTCACAATTTCATTTCCTGCCGTGGAGCGACGCTGACAGCTAGACGTGTGCTTAGGCCTCCTCCTTGCTGCATGGATTTTGGCTAATCCCTTCCTCAGCTCTCCCACCTGTGGGATGGGCCCATAAGCCTTTTCCCCTCTGGCCTCGTCTCTTGCTAATTGTTCCTGAGCTTCGCTTTGCCATGTGTAAGCTTGCGAGTCGGTGCGTTCCAGATTCCATGTAGAGTACGGAGACTCAGGGGCCCTTCTGCTTGGTTTCCCATTTAAAAACGCTCTCCATGAGGTTCTTACCGACCCTCTTGGTTTTCCAGTCATGGGAGGCCGGGAGGGAGGGAGGGAGGATGCCGCGGTGGCCTCACTGATGAGTTGATTCTAGCACTGATGTGTTTAATACTCTCTGGCTGAGCTGCGGAACAGGCCGGTGTGCAAATTGCCTGCAATATCAGTGTCCTGAATAATGAGCCATTTGCTGCTGAAGGCTCAGTCCCTTATTATTCAAATCTTAGGGAGCCACTCATGTTTGCAGCTGCGGCTGACACTACTGATTAAATTGTTCTGATCGGCGAGAGGGGAGCATGGACGGAGGCCGGACGTGTTATTGATCTGTTACAATCCATTCTGGGCAGTCACGCATGACAAGTAATGGACAAAACCCAATTTTCTCCCAGCCTTAATTTAAATAGCGAGGCCGCTTGATGATCTTTCTGGGGCAGTTTTGTTCTCAAGACTGCACCTCGTCATTTAGTGAACTGGTTAGTAAATGGTGTAGCATGTGGCCGTATCCAGCCCTTGGTTTTATGCAAGCATGGGTGAGATGAAAAGCCAGGGGGATATGGCATTCGGCGGGGGGCCCAAAGGCATTGCTGACTCAGCATGGTCAGGATTCTGTCGTGTTTTGTGAACAGTAATGCAAGTCCCGGAAAATAGATACCCGGGAAATGCTGAGAATTTGCTGAACATCTTGAGCTATGGAAGGAGCAGCTGTAGATGGGGGAGATGGTTTCCCTGCCATGAACATTTACGCGCCCCATAGCAGTATGTCATTGGTGTAAGATACTAGACCGATTGGCTTGTAAATGATGACCTAGCTTCCCAAATCATTTTCTTCTCCTTTTCCTTTCATTTCTCTTCTCTGTGTTTCAGATTCTGCTTGGCCTTTGCCTAAACAATTGTGCCCCATATGGATTTCCCTAGATGTGCTCTTTTCAACTGCATCTATCATGCATCTCTGTGCCATCTCTCTTGATCGGTATGTAGCAATACGCAATCCCATTGAGCACAGCCGCTTCAATTCCCGCACCAAGGCTATTATGAAAATTGCTGCCGTTTGGACCATATCAATAGGTAAGCGCTACGGCTCACGCGCCAACTGTCTCTTATTGAGTAACTCGACCCGTTACGCCTCCTTTCCATTGGGATTTGTAAGAGGTTGCACGTTTCCTTGGGCTGCACGCGTGTAAATGTAATGAATGGGAAGAAGTCTTGTGTTCTGATTGGCTAGTGATCACACTAAGCAATGCTGTCTGAGAACGCCACTGCTTTTAATGGCCAAGATTACACACTAGCATGCCAGGACACGCCAGAAAGAGACACGACACAAACAAAAGGCGCTATGAAACTGCTGGGGACACAAAGCAGATGGGCAAGGGAAAGGACATTAGAGGAGACTGTGACTGTAATAGAGGACACTCCAGATAGAGGACTCGCCCTGTAAGGAGGAAGCGATAGCAAGGCGAGAGCCCAATGGCAGGCGTGACAGTTCCAAGTGCAGGGGGTTCGTTTGGGGAAGAACTATTCAAACGTTTTGGTGTTTTGTAAGAAAGAGGAATCTGCGGCAGGGGGAATTGTCTGACAATTTCCTCTGCTCTGCTAGATTGTCTTGTTCGAATCAGCAGCAGCCGGGCCCAGATTCCAGAGGTGACTGGACGCCTTTCCCCCGCCCCCGGGTTACGCCCATGGTGCACGTTGGCTTAAGCTGTGCGCTTCAAGAAAAAAGCATGTTGTGCTGTGAACTCCTCCAACATCTCACTTACCACGTCCCCCGCGTATCTTCACTCGGCAGGATGACCTACATCTACAGTGCAGGAGAGGCCACTTTGTAACTGCTGACCCTGGGCCTGCAGGAAATGACAGATAACGACGTGTGCTTGAATTCATAATAATGATTCAAGGTTGTCAAACAGGCCCACAGGGGAATTATTTAATCAGTCAAAGATTATCCCACGCCACACAGAGAGAAACTGCACGCTACCTCTCTGTGCAGGGTGCAGAGCTGAGCCCTGCCTTCTGCCTCTCTAACTGGTGATGATTTTCATTCCCAGTCTAACTCCCCCAACTTTTTGCCTTTGAGAGGCTTGAGACAGAGCCGTTCCTTTTTGGAGGGGAGAAATACTTTCCTGAGATGTGTACTGAGTTCAGCATCTTATTGTACCTCGTTACTTATGGGGTCTCTTTTATGGGGTTTTCGATTACATGACTGATAAACTAGGGGGATTTCTAAATCAATCATTATGAAGCACTCCTGCTCTAATAAGCACTCCCCAGTGAGCTAAAACATCTCGCAATGTTTTTCACATACATCTCAGAAAGCATTGGCAAGAACGTATTCCTGTTCACTTACCGACCGGACCTGCATTATAAGATGGCCCTTATCAATTACCATGTCTTATTTATTATAACACTTCTCTAGTCTCTTCGTGAGGGGGCCTTTCCCTAGATGCCTGGACTATAACAGCAAGGTCAGGGTGAAAAGCAGGAGAACGATTACTCACGTTCTGCTATTGATTTCAGAGGGGGAGCAGTGTTAGTCTGCTTCAGCAAAAGCATCAAAGAGTCCCGTGGCACTTTTCAGACTAACTCATGTCTTAGGGTGTTAGGTCACACGCTTTCGTGAGCTACAGCTGAAGGAAGGAAGGAAGGAACACAGAGATGGGAATGTGCCATCAGTGCTAATTAAATCCGATTGAGTGGGGCTCCTCTCCTGCAGTGGTGAGAGCGCCTGAATGGGAAATTACCTACTGCAATGCGAGAACCTCTCCATGCGTCGATTTAGACCTTGGTTCAGGGTAAAAATTTGCATATGAATTCCAGCTCAGCAGTTTCTTGTTCCAGGCCAATTTGGAAGATTTTTCCTCGAGAATGGCAACTTTCGAGTCTGATACTGTGTGCCCAGGGAGGTTAGAGTGTCCCCTCTGGCTTTTGGGTGTTGCCATGCTTAATGTCTGATTTGTGTCCATTTATTCTTTTGCATAAAGACGGTCCGTGTTGGCCAGTGTCCATGGCAGAGGGGCATTGCTGGCACGGGACGGCCTAGAGCACGTTGGCAGATGTGCACGGGAACCAGCCTTTGGGGGGGATAGGCGATGTGGTTAGGTCCTTTGTCAGTGTCACTAGGATAGATGTGTGGCCAGCGTTGGTAATGAGGTTTGTTTATTTTCCCTTCAACTGCAGTTCAGTAGGCATTGGGCACTACCTATATAAATGCCTAGTGTAAAAAGGGGTTTGGTTAATCTATTAAAGAATGATGCGAGTTTAACTTACAGAAGCCATAAAAGGTAACTAGCAATGGGAAATAAACGGTCCAAGTCGTGGATGCACCAAGAATGTTTTACGAGCCCACAGTCTGTGTGCACTAGTCCTGCGTCAGCTCCTTCAAGGAGAGAGAGTCAGTTGAATACCCTCTGATGAAATGAAATCGATTGATCAGTGGACTCCTTGAAGAAATCTTTTGCTTTGATTTCTCTGAGCCGAGGGGAGCAAAGCTGCTTCATTCGGCGCGTTGCAGGCTGGGTGGAGGGAGTTCACCTGAAGGTGGCTCAGAAATGTCAGCCGCAGGCTGCGGTGTGACTTGGATTGCATGCCCGCACAAGCGACTGGCACCTCTCCCACACTAAGCAGACTGGCCAGACCTGGAGTCCAAGCACACAGGAGGGAGGGAGGCTGCCTGTTGGAGCCAGGGCGGGGAGTGGACCAGGAGACGGGAAACAAGTGGAGCCTAGCCCCCCTGGCCCTTATTGGCCAAAAGTCGCAGTAGATTATTGCCCCGCCCCCCGAGCAAGACGGACCCCAGGAAGGAAACGAGACTCGGTGAGGTGTCTCTAACGCACAGTGTCTGTGCACGGCCTCACAGTGCGCACAGCGACACAAAGTAGCTGGTGCTTGGAGAATATTGTGGGGTGCTACTAGAGCTGCCTGTTAGTTTGAGGGTCTCAAGGGGGTCGCCGTCTTAGTCTGTAACTTACAATTTTTTAAAAAACGAGTGTTCCTGCAGCACCTTCGAGACCAACAGAAAACCAGAGAGAGTTTCATGAGCTTCCATGGGCACAAACCACGTCTTCAGCTGAGCGGAGCAAGAGCATTAGTTTCGGGTGCCACTCCAGGGCTATGTCTACACTCGCGGCTTCTTGCGCAAGTACGGCCATTCTCACGCAAGAATCTGCAGAGCGTCCCCACCGCCCGCCTGCTCTTGCGCAAGGAAATGTACAGTGCGGCGTGGTAAGAGAGGGCTCCTTGCGCAAGAGCTACGCTCTTTTTTATCAGGTGTGAGCCCTCTTGCGCAGGAGCTCTTTCGCAAGCGGGCAGTGTGGACGCTCGGCAGGGATTTCTTGCGCAAGAGAGCCCTATGGCTCAAATGGCCAGCAGAGCTTTCTTGATCAAGAGAGCATCCACACTGCTATAGGAGCTCTTGTGCAAAAGCACAGCGCGCACATGGCAGTGTGGATGTGTTCTTGCGCAAGAAGCCGCCAGTGTAGACACAGCCCAGGTGTTGGTGGGGACCTGGTGGATTCGGAATAGCTTTGCCTTTCCCCCCATCCAGTAGCTGAGCTCAGCCCAGACCGGAGCTGATAGTTTTACGACCAGGGGCTGTGCACAGAGGGTGCCTTCAACTGTGGGATTTGTACCTCAAACACAGCTATCTTCTCAGCCCCATCTGAGCATGCAGCTACGGGCCTTGACTACCTCCTTCCACTTGTGGTGAGTGCAGGAGAAAGGGGATTGAGCTCCTAGTATGTTGGCATTTTGTTCATCGTTTTGTATATGGCTTTAGCTTTGGTCTTGCAAATGTATCTAGAGATGTGATGGTATCAACAGCGCATAAATCTGGCCTCGCTCAATAAAACGTCTCTGAGGCAGCTGTCGGGCAGGTCAGTCAGAATTCTGAGTGAGCTGACGACCAGAGCATGGACTATATGGCAGCTGTTTTCTGACAGCAGCGCTTGGCACGCATAAAGCCTTCCTCTTCGCAGCTGACGAAAGCAGGGAAGATCCCCATTTTGCAGATGGAGAAACAGAGGCAGGTAGAGGCTAATTCCTTGCCCACAATGCCCATGCTAGTCAGTGGCCGGGCTACAGAACCAAGAGCAGTGCCTGCCAGCTCCCTGCTCTCACCTGGGTGTAGGCTTGGGCACTACCTGTATAAATACGCCGCCAGCTGAGTCGAGTGTAGCGAATCCTCTCGCTTGCAGGCCCGTGTAGAACAAGAGCAGGGTGCAGAAAAGCACTAACTACGAGGTGTTGTCCAGTGGTTGTGGGGGAGGAGGGAGTGCAAACGAGGTGATATTATTCAAAAAGCAGTGGCCTGCTGGAACCTTGAAACTGATTGACATTCTGCTGCAAGAACACATTGCACTTTTCAGTTCTCAAAATTGTGGGGCCGATCATGTCCTTGCATAGTTCAATGGAATTTTGTCTCACTAAGGACTGAGTCAGAATTGGAAGAGAACTTTAGGATTGGAGCCAGTGTTAGGCTTTGTCTACACTGCCAAGTTTTGTTGCCAAAACCTGCCTTTTGTCAACAGAACAGCGGGAGCATTCACACTGCAATGCGACTTTTGTCGGGAAACACACCCAGTTTTGGCGACAAAAAAATTCCACCCCTGCGAGAGACTTTTCTCTTTCCCCCTCCCTTTATTGTTGACAAAGAGCCAGTGCAGACTCTGCTGTTTGTTTTGGCAGAGAACTGGCTTCCACCAGTGTGACGTAGTGGGGGTACTTGCTGGGCTGTGGTGACCCCTGCTGTCTGGAGCAAGACCCAGCAGGGAAAACCTCACTAGGCCAAGGTAATGCCAAACTTGTTGAACCAGTGGCCAGACACCCCCCATGGAGAGGAACAAAGGAAGGTGGATGCTGCCCTGACTGGGGGGCAGGGCTGCAAGGGAATTTAGTTAGTTACTGTGGGAGAGCATGGAGGAGAGCCTAGGAGAAGGGGCTGGAGTTTAGGGGCCCAGTCTCCCCCATCTCAAGGGGGCCTGAGGCATCCTAGCCCAGCTCTGTGACCAGATTCCATCTGTGCTGTGCTGCATCCTGGAGAGGCAATAACCTTCCTCTATTCCACCGGCTGGTGA